ATTAGTCTTCAGGGCTAGACTTTCGGCTCCTCTGTAGAACACAGGGTATCTCCCTTGCCTGCGATGAGGCAGATCTCCTTGGGGCCTGCAGGCTGCCTAGCACACACCACCACCTGCCTGGTGCCAACTCCCAATTAACCGCAAACACAGGTTCCCTGGTCCTCTGTGGATACTCTTGGCCTTAAAGAAGAAATGAATGGATTTCTTTCCTTATTTGCACTGTTGAGACTCTCCCTGCCCCCACCAAGCCTCACTGGCATCACCACTCACAGGGTAGAATCCTCACACCTGAACCCCAGTGCCTTGGTCCCTGTCCAATGTGGCTTCTGCCAGGCCTTGCTTTCTCTTCTGAACCTGGATCATTAACCTCTTCCTGGGTCCCTTTGGACTGAAGGCTGCATTAGGAAGGCCACGTAATCACTCATGGTGCTGGATGACCTCTGACCTCACCTGTCTTCTGCAGAGGATCATGGGAGAGCATTTGGCTTGTGATCCCAAGCAGACTTTTTCATGGGCGGCCCTGGAAGGCAGCTAGGATGCAGCTCAGCAGTTCTGGAATCCTAGAACCTTGGAGCTAGAAGGGAACACCATCTAGTCCAACCTTTACCCAAACAGGAATCTTCTTCACAGCATCACTGACAAGTGACCATTCAGCCTCTTTTTAAAGATTATCCAGCCTCTTCAGTGATGGGGAGCCCCCTACCTTCCAAGCCAGCCTATTCCATTTTTGGACAGCTCTCAGTATGACTTTTTTTTTTTAAGCAGAAAACTGCCTTCCTGCAACCTCTCCCCTTTGCTCCTCTGTCCTTTGGGGCCAAGCAAAACAATAATCCCTTTTCCATACCTACGAGTTGACTTCTTAAGTGATAAACAATAAAATAAAACAAGAACCAGTATGCTATGAGTGGACTCTTTCGGCATCTGTCATCAAATGAGGGCAGGTCAGCAGCTCATCTCCCAGTGGAATATTAGAAAGTAGAGCATGAGAACAAAAAATGAGCTGGAGAAGGACATGGCAAACCATTCCTGTATCGTTGCCAAGAAAACCCCAAATGGGCTCAGGAAGAGTCGGACATGACTGAAATGACTCATCAATGTTGCCTTAAACAAAGGCTAGTGGTTCTCAAAACTCAATCTGAGGTCTCAATCTTGATCTTGAAGTCAAAATTATTTTCATAATACTTCCAAGATGTTTTAATTTCTAACATGGTAAATGGCAAGAGATACAGCTCATATAAAGAAAAGCTCTTTGTGAGGTCTTCAATAAGTTTTAAGTGTAAAGGGGTCCTTAGACCAAGAAGTTTGAGAACTGCTGTTATAGGCAGCAGGTTTGGGTTTTGAATTTGGGGGGGGGGTGTCACGGACAGACCTGTGGAGCAGAGATTATCTCTGAAGTTACATGAAAAAGTGGATTGGGAAAAGGAGAGACTGGATTCAGGGAGAGAGAACAGTTATGATTTTCATTCAATAGTCTAGGTGGGGAGACCCTACTAGAGGGGAGTGGATGTGGGAATGGAAGGTACAATGGCTTCCCTAGCTCACTAGACTGTAAACTCCTCGGAGGAAGGGACTGAACCTTTGTATTAGAGAATGAAATTGAGCCTGTGATCTCATTAATAGAGGAAACTACCCCTACCTGCTCTGCAACTTACAGTATCAGAAAGTTGCCTAGAGCATTGCTGGATTCAGTGACTTGCGCCAGGGCCACCCAACCTCTACGTGACAGAGGCAGGACCTGATCTCAGCACTTCCTGGCTTTGGGGTTGGCTCTCTATGCACTATCTCACAATGCTATTTATTTAAAATGAATTGGATTGATGCTTCTTATGTTTGCATCATTCACTTCTGGAACCTATGAAACTTTTCCTCGTAACAAACAATGAGGCCAAACTGGATCGGACAGAGTAGGCACCATTCCACTCCAGTCTTCATAACCATATTTCCCCCAGCACCAAGCACAATGCTCTGCACACATTAGGTGCTCAATAAAAGTTTTCTTTTTATATGGAATTGGGTTGGATAGACTTCAGAGTGAAGGTCAAGATAGACTTGCTCTTTACTGAATTTATACCATTATGTAATGATGGGGGCAGAGGTCCCTCTTGTCTTTGCTGACCCTGCCTGCCTGACTTGTGAAATACATTCAGCTACCCTAGCCTGGGTATGGACAAAAGTCTTTCTTGTCCAGGGGCATTTTTTTTAGGCAATATAGTTCAGTAGGAAGAATGTTATAATTGGAATGAAAAGATGGGAGATTGAAGTTAAGCCAATGCTGTGTAGAATCTTAGGTTCCTACAATTTTAGAGCCAGAAAGGCTCAACCTTGACCTTAAGCAACAATTTCCCTTACTTACTAGTCTGCCCATAGTCACCTTGTGCAACTTCTTTGAATTTTTTTCTTTCTGTAGATATCTCTAGTGGAAAGAGCGCCAGTCTGGGTGTGGTGGTGCAGGCCCTCTTAGCTACAGGAGAAGCTGAGGCTTGGGAGCTCTGAGCTGCGGTGGGCTAAGTGGACTGGTGTCCCCACCAAGGCCAGCACAAACATGGTGAGTGTCTGGAAGCAAGGGACCATGAGACTGCCTGAATGCTGGCCCAAGTTGGAAATGAATCAGGTGGAAGGCCACTGCAGTCTGCAGACAGACAGCAGCCAGGAGCTGCCTCCCCCTGCCCCAGAGTCTTTAAAACCCTGTCTCTCTCTTCTCTCTCTGTCTCTTCTCTTGCTTCCTCTTTCTCTCTTCTCTCTCTCCTTTTCTCTCTTTCTGTCTCTTTGTCTCTCTCTCTTATACACACACACACACACACACACACACACAGGACTTGGGGGTCAGAAGATCTGGGCTTAATACCTCCACACAAAAATGACCATGTATTTACTTTGGACACACTCTGTAAGTAGAGGCTGCTCAGTATAGCATATAAAGAGCTAGCCTCAAAGACTTGGGTTCAAGTCCTACCTCTGATACATGCTGCCTCTATGCCCCCGGGCTCCGCTGCAGAGATACCAAACTGCATCAGTAGAGAGAGTTTCCTCTTTCACAAGTTCCCTACTCAGATGAAAGCACAGGTATGGTCCCTGAATTCTGTATATAGATATAAATGTGCCTGTTGTTTACCTCAATAGAAAGTAAGCCTCTTGAGGGCAGGAAATATTTGTCTTGATATCCCTATCACTTGGCATATAGTAGGTGTTGAATAAATGAATATTGATTTGACCAGGTCCTAGTTTACTGCCTGGTGACCACATGCACACTTGTCATGTGACCTTAGACAAGTCATTTCATTGCTCTGATCCTGTTTCCTCATCTCTAAAAATTAGGATAATGCCTGCCCTGCCTGTCTCCCAGCTACTTGTGAGGAAAGCATAAACAGTCAAGCCCCGCTCAGGCACAGGCAATCATGACAGACACCGTGTTAGAATGCAGAGTGTCAAAGCTGAGAGGAAAGCCTCAGACTACAGAATGTTGGATGTGGGAGCTGGGAGGGAGCTCAGAACATAAAATGGGAGAAGTGGAGAGAACCTAGTCCAGCCCCATCATGGGGCAAAGGTGGGAACTGAGAAGCCGGTTTCAGGTTTAGTGTTCAGCATCTGGTGGGGGTTGGGGCAGGGATGGGAGATGACCTCTGTGGCCCCATGCTCTCTGGGTGAGGTGGCGATTTATTCAGACTCTGGGAACCAGGGGCACACCTGGTGACCACATGCACATTGGAGCAAGAAGCCACTGCTGTTTGCAGACGGACAGCAGCCAGGAGCTGCCTCCCCTGCCCCAGGAACAACGCCCAGGGTGAACAGCTTGCTTCCTGACCCAGTTGAATACCCATCTGAATCAATTAAATCTGCAACTACCCAGCAAAGATCAGCCAGTGACGGATTGGGGTTCAGCTCTGCACAGACTGCAAACACAAGCAGGTTTAACTCTTTCATCACCAGACTTAAAAGAACAATTTGAGACCCTCACAGCTCTACAAAGCCTCAGATGGAGCTAGGGTATGAACGGGAGGCTGAGAGAGAGAGGTTGGAGCTAGGGAGGGCTGCTTTGAACGCTCATTATAGAAGCAGAAAAGATCAGAGCTGGGAGGGTTCTCAGAGACCAAGTAGAGGCATTGTCTAGGGTGAAAGTCACCTTGACTTGAATCCTCCTACCCAAGTGATCTTGGGCAAAGTACTTAAACTCTTTGGGCCTCAGTTTCCTCACCTGTAAAATGAGGTGGATGCATTGAAATGGCCTCTGAAGTTCTTTCCAGCTCTACTATAGGAAATCCCTAGTTCCCCCTCCTCTTTCTACTGTAAACTGAAGGGAAGATCACAACGCTAATAAATGCTGGATCTGGGATTTAAGTGCAAATCTGTAGCGATCTTAAAAGAATCTAGGCCACTTCCAATTTACAAAGGAAATTAAGAGGCAAAATCAGTTGTTCTACATCCGACAAGGTCTTGGACACCTTTTCTAAATGAGGCCTAGATAGCGGACCAATGGAATCTGTTTAAGACATGGCGTTGTCCCAGGTCAAGGGCGAGTTATTCATTTACTGGGCTTTGGTTTTTTTCATGGGTGGGAGGCAGTGGAAAGAAGGATAGATGACAAGTCAAAAGACCTGGGAGGGGGTCTTGCTCTCACACTTTCTAACTTTTGTGACTTTAGGCAAACTGCTTAACCTTTTTGGATCTCCAGTTTCCACATCCATAAAGTGAGTGGAGTTGGACTAGATGGTCTTAAACATATCTTTGAGTAGCTCTGCATCTGTGATGCCATGAAAACAGGCCCCATAATGCTTGTATTTCCTTCTTATGGGGTGGTTGTGATACTTGTACTTGAGTATCTCCAAAGACAAGGAAGTTGGCTCCAAACCTACAAACTTCCCCTCTTGTATCTGCTTTAATATCTGAATTCATTCCCTCAAACTAGAGAAATATATCTGAAAAACAAAATCTACCAAACACCAAACCTCATGGCAACCGCTTTTCAGGTTTTTGTAGGAATTAAAACTAGTTGGCCGACAAGATGTTTATATAATTTTTAATACTGAATATGTCACAAGGTTTAATGACTAAATTAGTCATTTCCATCTCAAAAGATAGTTGAAAATATAAAATGGGTAAAAATCGAAATACAAGTAGCAGACTATAAAGGAGATTCTTTCTGTCTCACTGAGGTTGTGGAAGACAGTTTTGTTAAGAAAAGGATTCTTCTGTTACGTGAACATAGACCTGAATGAATCAAGGAATTAATTAAAATGACCCATTGCCAGGAAACACACTCTAGTCTGTTGCATTTTATCCACATCTTTTCACATGTAATAGTTTTAACAAAAGGCTTTTCATATATGAGGCAGCGTGCTATAGTGGAAACAGCTGTGGATTCAGAGTCAGAAGACCTGGGTTCGAGTGCTGGCTCGAACAAGCTTGGACCAGTCATTGCCTGTCTGGGGCCCAGTTTCCTCACCCATAAAATGAAGATTTTGAAGAGATAGTCTTGTGGGGTCCTTCCTAACTCTCTAATTCTGTGAGCCTGAGTCTCTCTCTGACACTTACTCTTTGTGTGGCCTTGGGCTGGTCATTTTCCGTTTCTGAGCCCATTTCCTCATCTGTCAATTGGTGACAATGCTTTTGCTACCCCTGGGGGAGGGGGAAAATCCAGTGAGATAATGTATGTGAAGGCAGATGGAAACTGGTAAGCTCTATACAAATGTGAACCGTTACTACTTCTAGGGATCTTTAGTAAACCACACGTGAGGTTCTCTATGCTGGTGAGTCATGTGCATTTACAACATGGAGCAAAGACCACAATTCTGCCTACCCGTGGAAACTGGCTGCACTCACCTGTGGCCAGTGTACATGTCTACACCCCCTAGAAGGCCCACGTTGGTGGGCTGCTCTACCGGTAAGACGTGGGGTAGCAAAAAGTTAAGGAACCCGGACTGAATTCTGGTTTTGCCACTTAGGGGACTATGGGCAAATCACTGCATTTCCCTGTGCCTCAGTTTCCTCATCTGCAAAATGAAGGGGCTGGGCTGCAGCAGAGGGACAAGTGGTACTTTACTGACATCTGAAAGACAGAAGCTATCTGAAGCAACAATTCTCCTCTCACCACTGAAACTTTTGGCTGGAAATCTTCTATGTATTTCATAAAAGTCAACGACAGACTCTTAGCCAGCTCTCTCTGATGGAATAAGACTACTACTAATATTGGTTCAGATTATCTATCTGCTTTAAAAATTGAACTTTTTATTGGCACATGGAAAGAAGAACCATTTTTTAATACTGCTTTAAGACATAATCACTCCCATTTTTACCCGGCATTTTTTCCCCCCGCAGAAGGTAGTGCAGAGGTTATCATCCCCATTTTACAGGGGAAACAAAGTTTAGGGAGGGAAGTGACTTGTCCAAGCACACAGAGTAGATAAGTAGCAGCTCCAGGAAATGAACCCAGGCTCTGTGGCTCCCAATCTAGTGGCTGTCCACTGTCATGCACTGCTTTCACAAAGGAAGTAATTCCTTCTGTTTTTCTCTTTTTGGTAAAGGAGAAAAGAAGGCACTGCTATTGCTCCATCCCTATGAGCCACTGAAAGGTGAGAATGCTTAAATAATACAAAAAACTTTCACTTTTATTATCGATAAAATCTTTTCTTTCAATGTAAGGCAGCAATTCTTCACCCGGTCTGTGTACTTGTTTTAAAAAAATATTTTGGTAACTGTATCTAAATAGAATTGGTTTCTTTTGTGATCCTACATATTTTATGTATTTAAAAACATTATAGGAGGCTTCTCCTGTTTGTCCAGGGTACAAAGAAGGGAAAGGGCCCCTGCCTTAGGGAAATGAGAAATTATCCATCTCCAGGTAGAAGTTTTAGGATCATATCAGAAGATGTCAGATCTGGAAGGGCCATTAAAACTCAGAATGCTGGAGCCAGGAGGGATTTTAGATCACAGGTGAGAACAAACATTAAATATTAGAAGGGAAAGAGACCTAGACCTAGCAAAAACCAATCATGTTGCAAAACTTGAAGCTGAGTGTGGGAAGCATCTTGCTCAAGGTATTTAAGCTAAGTAAGGAGTTCAGCAAGCTAGGATCAGAGGCCAGTTCTTCTCACTCTCTTTGACTGACTTTCCCACTATATTGTGCTATTTCTCCCAAAGACTAGAAACCAGGAACGGCAGTTGTTATATCAAGTTGCTTCTCTCTTCCCTGATTTCCAGCTGGCCCAATGCCATGAAATCAGCACTATCACTGAAGACTGAAGAGTATCGAATTCAGAGTTGGAAGGTGTCTTGGAGATCATTTAATCCAACCCCCTTCATTTTACAGATGAGCAGAATGAGGCCCAGGCAGGCAGGAGGCTTACCCAAGGTGACATACCTCATCAAAGGTTGAGGGGAGGTTCACTTCCCATCCTCCCTGACCCCCAGTCAAGTGCTCTTTGCTCTACCGTGCCATCTCATCTGTGGAAACAAGGCCTCTCCTTGCACGTAAAGGACGTGGTGGGTTTTAAGATACAACATCCCTTCTTGTTCTCTGGATTAGTCAATAAGGTTCTATAGGAAGTCACCAAAACAAATGGTGCATTTAGAAATACTGATCTATCAATAAACATTTCTTCTAAGAGAATCAAACAATGCTTTTAAAAGATCTGCCCTTCAATAATCTGGAAGATTTTTAAAAAAGAATCACATAATTAACCCTCTGCCCCAAAGAATGGTCCATTATATGCCTTGATAAAGATTATGCCAGTTTATTACAAGAAAAAAAAGTATACATTTTGTTCGGTATTCATCTGAAGACATTTGATCGTGTTCTAAGTGACCTCTTTCTTTTACATATCAATGTTTTGTAACCAGGCAGTGAAAAAGAGTAGAAGTCACTTTTTTTTTTTGTGATTGTATGTGCTACATAATGGAGTTCACCCAGCATGTGATCTTGTCTGGCTTCTCATCCAAATATGTGCCATCCTCATTCGAGTCTTGGCTCCAGCTGAAGGGGCTCCAGTTAAAGGGCATAGGGTGGCCCACCAAATTCTGGGTTTCATTCCGTCCCCAACATGGTGGTCAGGATCTTTCAACCATGAGACACTGTCCAGAGCTTAGGGCCTTCTCCTGCTGGTGCCCACCAAGGCTGTGGGGAGCTGCTGCTGCTGCTGTGAAGGGTGGCGCATCAGTGTCTTTGCTCCAGCCATTACTGCTGTCCTGACTTCTTCTCCTTCTGGAAGCTAAAGCTTGTTCTCCTGCTCAGTTTCCTTTGTTTCTGAGCAAAGTAATCAGCCCGGGCAGTGCTTGCTCGGGATTCCAGAATATAGTTCACCTAGAAAAGAAGAGTACATGTTACCTATCACTCACTGACACAGGCTGCTATGGTAATTAGCCTGAGGACAAGGAACGGTGTATGTGGATTTCAGAGCATTCCAGGATTTGGTGCTGGAAGGAATCCTAGAAATCCATTAAAACCTCCCATTGTATAGAAGGGAATAATGAGGTCCAGAAAAGTGAAAGTGCTTATCCAAGGTCATACAGCACATGAACAGTAGTGCTGGGACATGAATTCAGGTCTCCTCACTGGGATTCACAGATCAACTGAAGCTACACTCACACTCGACACCAGTAGGACCTTTGTAGGTTCTCAATATTATTAGCCCCCTAATGCTAATAATGCCACTGTTAGAGTGAAAGGCATTAAGGCATTGGATTGGACAGTCCAAGGGGAATTTCTTGGGTATAAGTTAACTTTCTGACTCCTCAAAGCTATGCACACATACATCCACCAGTGCACGTGGGCTTTTCCGATACAGGTAGCGGAACATGTGAGAAAAGGCACAAGACAGCCCTGCTTATACTATTTATTAGTAGTGTGCCATTTGGCAAGTCACCGGACCTCAATGGGGCAGTTTCCTACTGAGAAGGCTGGACTAGATGGTCCCTTTAGCTGTAATTCCTATGACCCTCTCCCCAGCCTATCTGCTCAGAGGCAAGCTGGGTGGTAGAGTGGGTAGATCTCAGTTGGAATTCTGTCTCAGATACTTACAACCTGTGTGATCCTGGAAAGTCACTTTACCTTTTTCAGCCTCAGTTTCCTAATTTGTAAAATATGGACGATAATAGCAACTAACTCATAGGGTTGTTTTAAGGATCAAATGAGACAGCACAAGTAAATATATCGATGCTTAGCTATTCTTACTACTTCTACTAACATGCCTATAAGCTAAACTAGAAACAATATTTTTTACTCTTTGTAAGAAAGATCAGAACTCTTTCTCTCTGGGTGCTTTCTGCTTATGCAATTCTCCCAGACTGCAGACAAGGGAAAGTCTTGTGCCCTCTAATGCCAAAACTGCCCTGGAGGGGAGCTCAGTACCAGATGCTGCTGCATGGATGCTCTGAAGAACCAGAGAACCAGGGAATCCAACCCTTTATTTCACAGGTGAGGAAGCTGAAGATGAGAGAAGTGCCTTGCGTATGGTCCCCAAGCTAGTGAGTGAACAGATCTGGGAGGCAAAGCCAGGCCTCCTGAGTCTTCTGACTTCAAAACTCACTTTTTCTCAAACACACTGAACCTCCTGCCCCTGCCTAAACTTTCTGCTCTGATAGGCACGAGCAGCAGGAACTCCAAGAGAGTGCCTGAGGACAGCAGGTTCGACACACTTGGGCCTCGTCATTTGGCTGAATAGCCGCCAAATTACCAGCTGAGTACAATAAATCATGAAGAACTACAACCCTGGCCTGATGTCTCGGGACAATGTATGAAGATATGGAAACCATTTTTGTAGGCAGTGAAGCAGAGTGGAAAGAGTGCTGGGGTTGGAGTCGAGGGACCTGGGTTCAAGTCCTGGGGCTGCCACTTACTTCCTGTGTTTGGGCAGGTCATCTGCCCTTTGTGGGCCTCAATTTCTTACTTAACAAAATGAAAGGGGCAGCCAAGATCTTTGGATCCTGTAATCCTGGGAAACCATTCCTTGATGACACTGTTTGCACACTCACCTAATCTAATCTCTTCAATGTGTGGGGGCACATCTTGCATGATCCAAGTATTTTTAAATGATATTTAACAAGCCTACTATTTCTTACATTTATTATCTCCAGTGCTTTGTGATAATCACATAGATAATTTTAATGGAAGATTAATGTTAGAATCCAGAGATAAAAACGCCCTTTGGTCTGCCATTAGCTGGTTAATATGCTGTGGCTTCAGACTTGCACAATTTTATGCACTGTAGAGTGTCTCACTTTCATTGCATTTTATAGCTGACGGCATAAAAATATAGGGAGGTTTCATGGTCAATAAAGCTACAGCTTCCATCACTCTATCATGGAAAGGGCCCAATTTGAAGAGTCCGATGATTTCTATGAAATTCATGCCAAAAGCTTGCAGAGTTAGCGATCAAAAATGCCCCAGCTTGATTAGAATAGAGAAAGCATAGAGTTACCACACTAGTGACTCCGTCCAAAACTGCCATGTTCACTAACTTCACCCCCTTTAGAAGTATAGGACATAGAACGGCTGGAAGAAACCTGAGAACACGGAAAGAAAGAGCCCAGCACGTTTGAATTGGAAGGGACCTTGTAACAGAATGTTAGAGACGAAGGAGCTTTAGAACACAGAACACTGGTGCTGAAAGCGCCTCTGAAGAAAGAACATCAGGACACGTCATATTCGAGCTGGAGAAGGTCAGAACACTGGAAATAGCACTGTATTGTAGTCATTAGATCTAGGTTCGTTTCCTGCCTCTGACATGTAGCAGTATGTGACCCTGGGCAAGTCACCTAACCGTTCTGGGCTTCAACATCCTCATCTGTTAAAAAAAAATGTGTCCTACCTGCTTCATAGAGTTATTGTGAGGAATATGCTTTGTAAACCATAAAGAGATCTAAAGATCCAGGCTATTACCAATAATAAAGAGTTACACCCTAGAACACATGATGTTAGAGTAAGAAGCAACTTGAGAGCACAGAATGTTAGGTTGGGAAGGGAACTTAGAATATAGGACATGGAATGTTAGAGCTAAATGACCTTTGGGGTCAGACCCCTAATTTTGCAGATATGAAGAGGGAGGCCCAGAAGGGTGAAGTAATTTTCTCAAGGTCACAGGGGGCTTGGATTAGTGCCCAGGTTGCCCTACACCTCCATCTGATATTTGGCCTCAGGCTCACAATACTTTCAAGATGGTCATTGCTGAAGGCATAAGGGTTTGCTGAAGGCAAGAATAAAAAGACTGCTTCAAGACCCCTAGAATTTTTCGAACCTTGTACCCTCTCCCCCCAATCCAATCAGAAGCATAAAAAAAGTTGAAAGTGGAAATTTAACCAAATTAATTAAAATGTGGTTAATGTCCTGAAGCAAACAAGGCATCATTTATCAGTTATTTAGTGTTTGTCTAAAGCTTAGAGAGATGCTACTGCTTCATTTTGGGAATGGCAGATAAAACTGAGCATTTAAATTGCTATAAAAATCAGAGATGGGAGAAAATTAAATTTAATCTTCCAAGAGGATTACGATCATTAGCTCCTAAAGTCAATCAATGCTGTTGCAGTATAGAAGATGTTACCCAGTCTAAGACATGATGGCCTGTTTGAAAAAGACACTGTGAGCAGAAAATGCTAGAAGCAGAAGTGTGACAAAGGGGCAGAGCCCATGGTAGCAGCCAGGGTCCAGGGTTTGAGGCCCAACTCTGCCACAAACTAGTTGTATAACCTTGGGAAAATCATGGTCTTTCTCTGGGCCTCAAATCCCCAATTTGTTAACTGAAGGTATGTGACTAGGTCATACTGAAGGTCCCTTTTTGGCCTAAATGTCCTATGAACACACAACTGGCAGTGTGTGTAAGCAGGATTAAGAAATGTAGTAGGAAAGCATTTGCTCTGAGAGAGTTTTGTCCTGGCAAAATGATTTCTCTGTGCTTGATCTTCTACGATCTCATATTGAAGTCATAAACCTGTGTTTCTGTCATCAATCTGCTGGGGTGAAAATTATTTGGATGTCAAACACAGGATTATAATTTTACTAGAATCTTCCTGAAGTCCTGAATATTTTAATACTAGCTATAAAAAAAAATCCAAACACCTGAAGGGGTAATGGAATATTTCTTTACTCAACACTTCCACTTGGCAAAGGTGCCTTTGTCAATCTAGAAGCTTGTTGGGATGACAAAATGAAGACACATGAAAAATTAAAGGGTGCCAGCATGGACTCGTGGGATGAACACTGGCCTGGAAGTCCATACAGTAATGCCACTAAGGTGCTGTTGGACTCTGTGCAAATCACTACCTTTCTCTGGGCTTCAGTTTTGTCATCCAGTTTGGATTCAGTCAAGGGCCCCACTTGAAGACCTAAAGGGCCACATGTGGCCTCGAGGCTGCAGGTTCCCCCACCCCTGGACGAGATGGTGTCTAAGGTTTCCTTGAACTCTAACATCCTATTTTTGAAGGTCCTTCTTTCCTTTTTTAAGCTCTAACAGCTTATGCTATAAGGCCCCTTTCAGCTCTGACCCTGTGTTCTGATACTCCAGCTACACTGGGGCACTAGAAATTCTTTAAGAATAATTCTAGGGATGCTGCCAATTAACGCCCCCCCGGTCACATTTCCAGAAATCCTCTCTTTCCCTCCTTGCTGTGCCCCATGCATGTGTCACTTCTGACAAGGAATATTGTCATCTAGTCTGCGACTGTTACTGAAGTGAAATTGTCCCCACACTGCTCCATCCTTTCCTATTTTGGGTTAATTCTCAGGTCCACATTGCCAAATCAATCTATCACCATTACCATCTGCCCTCAAAACCATCCTATTTGTACAGAGCAATCTTGTCTGGTTAAGATAGTAATTTAACTCTTTAGAGTGATATGCAAACTGCTTTTAGTTTAGAATAAACTCCAGAAGCAACCTATTGACCCCAAGTTCCCTTATAGGGGCATATTTTTCTATGGTTCTACCCAAGGTCAAAGTTTCAAAGTGTGAAAGGGGAACACAGGGTGATGGAATGTAAAGAACCCTGGCCTTGGGTGCAGGAGATTACAGGGTTTGAATTCTGGCTCAGCCACTTAGCTGTATGACCTTGGGCAAGTAATTTCTTCTCTATAAGGCTCATCTGCAAAATTGGGATAATAATCCTTACATTACTTATCTCCTAGGGCTGCCCTGAGGAAAGTACTTTATAAACTATAAAGCATTATAGGAACAAAAGCCATCATTGTTAATCACCTGGTTATTTCCTCCATTAAACTGCCTTTAATGTTTATAAGAAAAGTCAATATAAACAAAAGCCTGGTTGCCATGTGTTTCTTTTCCAAAGTAAAACTTAAAAATGAGGTAGCATGGTATACTAGAAGAGAGCCCTGGATTTGGAGTCAGAGGGCTGTGTTGAAATTTGTGTAGTATAATGGTTAGAGATGTAGTTTTGGAGTCTAGGCTCAAAACATGCCTGACACATGGTGGCTGTTTGATCTTAGGTAAATTCATGACCCTCTCCACAAGCTGGGAAACTCTAAATTGAAAGACTATTAGGTTTCAGAGAATTTATCTGCACTGGTAGAGGAAACAAAAACCCTATTAATTATGGGATGGTAGGGCCTCTGTGTCCTCAGTTGTAAAATGAGGGTGAGAGAGGAGGGTTGGCCTGGATGATCTCAAAGTTTCTAGCCTGGCCCTAAATCTTATAATGCATGTGAAATCTGCTTCAGGCTAGTGTCTCTCCAGAACTCCTACTCTTTATCTGGCCCAGTGGATCTATGTTAGTCTCACAAATAACCCTCTGAGGGTCCTACCCCACCCCTCAATTCCTCACTTTCTCCTCTCTGCCAATCCAGATCCCAGGCATACTCCAAAGTCTAGCTCCTTGCTCCTCTGGGAAGCCCTTTCAGAACAATCCAGACCAATGTGGCCATTCCTGATGGTCTCTGGGCTCAGGCCTGGCCACTATTTTCTTAAATTGGCACTGATGTCTCGTGTGGCTCTTGGATATTATCCTTTTTTCTTCTTTCTGTGCTCTAGAGTTACAAAGCACCATGCAAAAATTAGCCGTCTAACAGCCAAAAAGACAGTGCTGCCCAAGGTCACAGAGCTGGAACTTGAGCCCAGGTTTTCTGATGCCCGCATTTAGGAGGAAGGGTTGGATTAGATGGTCTCTAAAGAATCTTCTGGCTTTAAAAATCTTATGATTATATAATACGAAAACAACACCAGCATGGTGTGGAAACTGAGGCCCATAGTGTTTAAATGGCATGTGCACGTCACAAGGTGTTAGGAGTAGAGCCAGAATTCACACTCAGGTCTGTTCACTTTCTCCACTGTCCCAAACTTCCAGCTATTCTTGAGAAGACTATCAGTACCATCTGTCTTCGGTTCAATTAAAAAGCAGCCATTTACTGGCACCTTCTACATGTGCAGCAGTGCCAGGCCCTGGGGTACCGAGAGAAGAACTAGGGACAAGAGCAGGCCCGGTGAGCAGCCTGGAAAAAGACACAGCCACATGAGAAGGGTGCAGTGCGTGGGAGCAGCAAGGAGGTCAGTCTCTTGAATGAAGAGGAAGGCGGAGGAGGGGAAGGGTCACGCAGGCAGCAGGCATGCAGCAGAGCTGGGTGCTGCCCTCAGGGCTGGGCTCTGAGCTCTGTCCCTCACGAGTCTCCCAAGGGCCATGCTCTCTGCAAGGTATTTCTAGGTTGTCTTCCAGTGGAGAAGGGAAGCTTCCTCAGGCTAGCCCAGGGGCTCTGCATACAGCTGTCCTGACTAACAAGTCTGCAGAAGCAGGGTCAACGTGGAGAGGAGTAACGATAATGCAGGTTTCTATACTGCTGTAAGGTGGATAAAGTACTTTTCTCATAACAGCCTTGGGAGCTGGTGGTGTGTGTATGACTGGTCTAGGGTCACACACCTCATGAGTAGCAAGGCTGGGAACTGAACCCAGGCCTCCTGACTCCAAAGTCAACACCCTTCCTGCCACACCACACTATTCCCCTCCCCCAATTATGACTGGAGCCTCCCTATAAGGCTGACTTAAGGACTATGTTATCCTGAGGTTCTTATGGAGTTTCTAGGAGCCCACTTCCTCTTAGATAAGGTCCCGGGAGAAGCTACTTTAAACAGAACATATACAAGACGTTTGGCAGCATCATCCTTAGAATGGTGTAATGGAAAGAGGGCTGAATCCCGACTGGGAGGATTTGGGTTCAAATCCTTGGGTACCTGTGGGCAAGTTCCTTAACCTCACTGGGTCTTAGTTTCTTCTTTTGTAAAAGGTATTGGTGATGGGGTGTTTGGACTCCATGGTCTGTTAGGTCCCTCTGACTGCAGACCTATCGTCCTACGATCTCCCAGATCTCTATTTCAGAGATAGGCGAGAGCCTGATGAAGCACTCTGTGCATCACCTATGAATTCTGAAAATCAAGGGCAGCACAAACAGTTTTGACTTAGAAAGCCAGTTTTTAGGAAAGACTTAACAGGCATTAAATATAGTATTAACCATTACCAAGAAATTTCACCCTGTAGTTGCTGAAACAGGGCAAAGTAGACAGGCTGGAAGGGGAGTCAGAAGACATGAGCTCCTTCTAATAGCCTGTTGAGATAATTGGTTCATGTGTTAGCATCTTCACAACCAGAAAGGGTAACTGGTAATCTTTCTCCTCTCTAGGCCTCAGTTTTCTTGCCTGCAAAATGAGAAGATTGGACTAGAATGACTTTTAATATATCTTTGAGTCTATGACTTACTACTTCTATAACCCTGGGCAAGTCACTTTACCTGAATCTCAGATTCCCCAACTGTCAAATAAGGCTAATAATTGCCAACCTTATAGGGTTAGGAAAGCACTTTGTATATTTTAAATTCATAGGCTCATATATGCATACATTTAGTCAGTCAATAAACATTTCCTGGATGCCTACTATATGCCAGGCACTGTGTAGTCAGGTAGGAAAACCAGGAGGGTGGTATCCTGAAAACCTAGATAGGAGAGGATTAAAGAGGATGATCAACAGTGTCAAAGGCTGCAGAAGGATTAAGAAGAATGAGGACTGAGAAAAGGCCACTGGATTTGGCAACTAAGAGATCACTGGAAAGAGCAGTTTCAGTGGAATGATAAGGTCAGAAGCCAGACTCTAAGGGGTTATGAAGAGAATAAGAGGAAAGGAAGCAGAGGCATCTATTGTAGACAACCTTCTCGAGGAGTTTAGGTACAAAAAGCAGATGAGATACAGGGTGATAGAATGGAAGGATCAGATGAGGGTTGGTGGAGGATGGGGGAGACGTGGGCATGTTTATAGGCAGTAGGGAAGCAGCCAGTAAACTGGGGGAGACTGAAAATAAGTGACAGAGTAGGGCTGACAGAGAGGGGAATGCATGGGGGAATCTGGATGGGATGAGATCATTTCAGCAGGTTGAGGAGTTAGCCTTGGTAAGGAGGAATGCACCTCTTCATGTGAACACGAGTGAAGGAGGAGACTTGGCAGAAGGCATCTAAGTGAGAAGAGATGACAAACAAGGAATCAGGGAGACCTCATGGCAAATGGCTTCAATTTTTTCTGATTCAAGATTTTCAGTTGAAAGGGTGTGAGGAGGAAGAGCTGTGGGGTTTGAGGAAGGAGGAAAAGGTTTGGAAAAGACTGTGGAGAATGGGATAATAAGGGAGGTACAGTTGGATGGCCTAGAGGTACTGAGAGCCCATTTGAGGTTATGTAATGTGAATCTGTAGTGGACCCAGTCAGAGAAGTTGTGTGATTTCCTCCACCTTCATTCAGCAGCATGTTTGTGGGAGTCAAACTGGCAAAATGGTAGGTGTGATCCAAGGCTGAGGCTTGGCAGGATGTAATTGGTGACAGGGTCAGGGACTCAAGAGCTGAACCAGCTTACCAAAGATCAGGCTGGAGAAAAGAGGAAAGAATGGTCAGTTCAAGGGAGATGGCCTGGGAGAGAACTGAGGGTCTGTGGCCTTAGAGGTCACAATGTAGATCTAGAGAGAGGAAGCACAGAAGGCATCAAATAGAATCCCCTCATTTTATACATGGCAAAACTGAGGCCCAGAGAGGTTAATTAAATGACCATCCCAGAGGCAAGTTAGGAGATCTGAGGCAGGATTTGAACCCAGGCCTTCCTTTTAGGTGGAATCCTATGTGCAAGATTGATGGAAAGACATGGGCAAGAACTGTACAGGAGAAACGGCTATAAGCTGGATAGTAAAGGGAATACACCTCCATACTGATAATATTATGCAGACATTGAAACACTGAAATATTATTATTGTTGTTCAAGATCTCAGCTGGGAAGGGCACCCACCTTCAGCACAATCTCATTGACAGTAGCAGCATCTGACTCAAAGTAGAGATGTTTGTAGTCGTGATTGCTTAGATAGGTAAGTTTAAACATCGCATGACCTAGAACAAGAAAGAAAAAAGGTCAGAAGACACTTGGGTAATACACAGGTCACTGAATAGCAGAAGTTGGGCTGGCTCGGGGGTACCCTGGGCAGCTGTGTCATTTATCCCATGTTTACTGGGAAAAGCCAGTTCTTTGCTCTACAGTTTGTAAAGCAGTGAAGACTTTCAGAGACTGGGTGATGTGAGGATGCCTCGTGTTGGGGGATTTTTACAATAATTCCACGTCTCTCCTGGGACTCTCAAGAATGCCTGGAATACTCCCAGCAGGGGAACACAGCAGGCGAGGAAACCCTCTAGTGCGGGGGAGTGGAACCTGTGGCCTTCTAGGTCCTCAGGTGTGGCCTTTTGACCGAGTCCCAGTTTTACAGAACAAATCCTGTTATTAAAGGGATCTGGTTCTGTGAAGTCTAGATTTGGTCAAAGGGCTGCCCTTGAGGACCTAGAGGGCCACGTGTGGCCTTGAGTTCACTGGGGCACCCCGGAGTTCAGGTGGTGAGAAAGCTCCGTCAGCCCACAGAGCAGTGTCTGCGGTTTCCTGTTATTGCTGCTTGCTTGGTCTCTCCCTTCACCATAAGACACTAGGACTTAGAGCTAAAAAAGGTTTTGGAGATCTTTTAAGAGAAGCAGGAGAAGCAGTGTAGAGGGAAGAGCAATGAACTTGCAGTTGTGAGAGGTCTAGATTTTAATTTTGCCCCTGCTATTAGCTGTGTGACCTTGGGCAAATCACGGAACTTCTCTGAGTCTCAGTTTCTTCATCTGTAAAATGGGGATGGTAATACCTGTAGCACTTGCCTCCTGGAGCAAGATGATCCATGTAAATATTTTGCAAACCTTACAGTCCTTTATACATGTCATTATGCCTATTATCCCTTCTAATCCATCCTTTACATGCTCTAAGAATGATTTTTCTTCTGCAAAGACATGGGTCATGTTACTCCTTTGCCCCAAAACTTTGGTAAAGTTGGGATCACAGATCCAAGAGTTGGAAGGGACCTCAGAGATCACTTAGTCCAACCTCTTCATTTTGCACATGAGGAAATTCAGGCCTAGGGAGGTTAAGGGACTTGCCCATGGTTACACAGGTAGTATCAGGGATGGGATTTGAACTTGGGTCACAACTGCAGAGCCAGGGCTCTTTCCCCTGTAATACTTGTTGCCTCCTCTACCTGGAATTCAAAGCTCTCCACAATCTGGAACCAGCCTCCTTTGCCGCCACGTCTCATACACTCAGCTTAGCCATAGTGGACTTCTCAGCACCACCCTCCCCATATACTCTTTGTGCTTCCCCACTTCCAGGCCTTGGTAATGATACTTCAAGTCCAGCGTCATGGCTGCTGCTGCTGCTGCCACATTATTTTTCAAAGGTTAAAGGGAAAAACCCTGAGCCCCAGAGTACCTTTCTGCTAATCAGTGGAGGGGCTGGGACTTGAACCAGGTTTCCTGATTCCAGGATTCATTTTTGACTCCATCACACCATGCTCAAGTAGGAAATGCAAAATCAAAACCCCAAACCAAAGGAAGCTCAAAATCACCCATCAAATGGCATGTTGACGTCTACTCAGCTCTGGAGTCCATTTTCTGCTGAAGTGCCTTGTTGGAGCTACTTTAGGAAACTATTCACAATGCAATAATTACACAGAGAAGGGAGGAGGGGCATTAAAAAAAAAGTTTTGTAATAGGCCAATTAACCCCAGAATGATTACTGTAAAAATAAAATCACCGTGGTTAAAAGAGGATGACTGTGTAGCCGGAAGGAGAAACAGCCAATGGTAATTCTATTACTGGGTTCTGTTCCAGATGATGCTAACAGTGACATAACAACACTAACAAAGGCTGCTCTTTGCTGCTTTAAGGTTTACAAAGTCCTTTCTTCATAACAGCTGTGTAAGGTCTATTGTTTCCATGAGACAGAGGGACTGGGCCCCTCATCCCGGTAACACAGCTGGTGTGCAGCAGAGCAGGCACAGCTGACTCCAGTGCAGGACTCTTTCCTGCAGCACATGGCAGAAGGTAATTGGGATTCCACACTGGATGTGTGTGCTCCTGCGTGTACCCGTGCATGGAGCGGTGGCTTGAATGAGTATGCTCTATGACCTGACCTAGCCACCCTCATCTGTACAATGGGGATAATGATCCTTTCAACACCTGTCTGACAGGACTGTGGTGAGAAAAGTGCTTTAAAAACCACACAGCACTGTGAAGCTAGGAGCTACTATTATTATATGAGAAGCAACTGAGGGAGATGGGGAAAAATGATTAACCACTCTAGTCTAAAACAATGTAAATATCAGGGACACTGGTAGAGGGGTAGAACAGGTAGTCAGAGGACTAAATTTGAAGTCAGGAAGGCTTAGATTAAAATCCTGCCTCCCACATTTATCAGCTGTGTGATCATGAACACGTCGTTTCACTTCTCTGAGCCTTGGTTTGTTCACTTGTAAAATGGGGATACTTTGGAGAAGTGCTTATCTCACAAGGTTACTGTGGGATTCAAATGCAATCAGGTATATACAGTATTTTGCAAACCTCTGAATGCTACATAAACACCCTCTATTATTATGGCTGATAATAACCTAGTCTTTTTCTTGACAGCCTATTGTGTACAAAGTCCTATATTAGGCCCTGAGAGAGACAGGATATTTGGATAAGGTCCTTGTCCTCACTAAGCTTACAGCCCAGTCAGGGGATGGTACAAAGTCCCAAGCAAGGTTATTCTCTCAATTGAATGGGTGAAAAACCAAATAAAACCAAATACTGTTATGCAGTTTTCTTTTCTTCTATCTAAGGATGTATAATTTCATTATCATCCCCAAATCTCAAAGCCAGAAGTGACCACAGAAGAGATCTAGTCCAAACCATAACTGAATGGGATTTTTTTTTAAACCACATCCCCTCTGAGAGGTCACACAGCCTCCATCTAAGAACTTACAGTGATGGGATTTTCAGATGTTCTTCACTGACACAGAATTCAACCCTTCCATGCCTTAATCCTCTGATGGTGCTGAGCTTCTCTGTAGTTAGGCAGACAGACAGACAGACAGACACACACACACACACACAGTCCAATTGCTGAGACCTTCATCAAAGCCCTTCCAGTGCGGCAGGTCCTACCAGAGGCTGTGCTTCCCTGGCAGAGCCCTTGAGAATACAGTGTCACTTCCATGCCATCAGGACGCATCAGAGCCTGAGTTAGAATGGAGGACTGCTCTCTTAGAAATTAAAATTCGACATAATACTTCATATTAACCCCTTTCATCAATTTTCCTGTTAATTTATGCAGCACCCTGGTAAGAGTTATTAATTAATTAATAATATATCACCCACATTACTGTAAGTTCACCTCTTTCCCGGAGAAATCTTATTAGAGTCTTTATTTACAGTAGCTAATTCTTCAGATCACCAAAAATAAACTGATCTATGTTGTAAATTTGTGGCCAGAGAATTTCAGTCCTCTGTATTTTATCCTGGTACATTAATGAAACATCATTAAGATACACTAATCATGACTGTAAATTCTGCCCTGAAAAATTAGCTAATAATTTTCTAAAAACCACTTTAAATTACTTGATAAATTAAGTTTTTGTGGGGCTAAATGTTGGTGCTCTCAAATGAAAGTGAATCAGTGTGGCTTTGGATGAGGAGCTGAATTTGGCATCAGAGAGTCAAACATCCTTAATGTGCAAACATGTAGGAAACATGGGAGGAGATCTATCTAGTGAAGTCATAGCCATATATGATGAGGCCACAATCTAGAAGACATGGGTCAAGTTACAGGAGATAGCATTACAAAGAACATGACCAGAATCCTATGAGAAGGAATTCTCCTGAAAGGGAATCTAGTCAAACCTGTATCTGATCAGGAATCCCTTTCGGCGAGTGGTTCTCCAGGCTCTACTTGGAGGTCTTAGGTAATAAGAAATCCACTGCCTCTGGAGAGAGTCCATGACATGAAGACATTATTGAACTGTCATTAAGTAAGGTTCCCTCACACTGAGCTGAAATCTGCTTCTGCAGCCTGCACACACTGAATGCAGTTCTGCCTGTTAGTACCAATAAATACAAGTTCTTCACTGCATTCTTCAATGTGATGATACTTCAAATGCTTGTCTAATATAGTCTCATGCCACAGGAACACTGACTTCTAGAGTTGTACAAGACCTCCGCAACCATCCATTTCAATCTCCTCATTTTATAGACAAGGAAAATGAGGACCAGAGAGGTTAAGGGATTTGCCCAGAGTCCCACAGGGAGTTAAGAGGTGGAGCTAAGATTTGAACACCGATCTTTGAACTCTAAACTCATTATTCTTTTCATGAACTTTATCTCCTGTAGGTCATCTCTTCTTCAGGCTAAACACTTCCAGGCACTTCAACTCATCCTCTCATGCCATGGTCTCTAGTCTCTCTAGCTTGTCTGTTCTTCTTCTTCATCATCAGCATCATCATTTATATAATGCTTTAAGGCTTGCCAAGTGCTTTACAAACATCATCTCGTTTGACCCTCACAACAATCCTGGGAGGTTGGTGCTATTATTATCATCGCTATTTTACAAATGAGGAAACTGAGGCAAACAGAGGTTAAGTGACTTGCCCAGGTCACCCAGCTCTGAAATCAGGTCTCCATGACTCCAGGTTTAGCAGTCTATGCACTGAGAGACCTAGCTGCCTCTCAAATATGGCACACAGAAGTGGGCACAATACTCCAGACAGAGGGTGGCCTAGGACAAATACAGGAAGCTCTCACTTTCCTTCTTCTTGACATCAGGCTATCTAGCAAAGAAAACTGCTATCCTGAAGGGCACAACACTTAGGCAGCTAGAGATCATCACAGAATCCCAGGATTGGAAGGGGCTTGAAGGGTTCAAGGTCTGTGGTACTGAACATATCTGGGTCCTTGGGTCATTTACACCACCTATTCCTATTTGTCACTTCTCTCCAACCTCCTACCACCCTCCCACCTCCCCACCCCCACCATTAGATCTTTGAGTGATCTTTATT